TGTTGAACAATAACGCTTTTTCATTTATACTTCTTTAAAAACTCATTGAGCATTCTATATTTGATATCATTTCAAGCAAAATAAAATGTCGAAATCAACGAAATTTTCTCTTTACTGAGAGAAAAATTCTTCGACGATGCTGCAGTTTTCTAATTGAAATTTGATATCGATCTATCCTGACAAATACCATTATGACCCTTATTCCATCCGTTTTCTAGAACTATTTTTCACACTCTCAATTGGATTCATGTAGATTATGAGTTCCAACAGCATTTGTCACTTTCTCTAAAAAATATCACCTTAATTCATACTGTATTATTCTGATATAGCTACTGTTTCAATATCATAATATTGACATTCTTGCTTGTGTGCGTCTGCCAAATTTCACTCGAGACGGAATACTTGACAATATGTACTGTTTGGGAACACTGACTGCAGTTGAATAAGTTTCGCACCCAGATGAAAACTATTTAAACCTCAACCGTTTTGGCTCATATTTTTATTGCAAATAGAACTCAATGAATTCTGATTGCAAACATCACTTGCGGCAAAATTACTCGAGTCAGAAAGAAATTGTAATAGACAGTAGTCATATCCCTTGTGAAACTCATAATTCGAGAAAGAAATGATCTTTTGAGTAGATCAACATCTCATTATGTAGTACTCTATTCTAATTATCTACAGTATAAATTTTGTTGAATTTCATCGAGCCATTGAAGAATTATGACCATTTTACTATAATCATTGATGTACGAGATAATCATATGATGTTATGGTGAGGCCCATAACTCACGAGTGAACCTTACCAGGTGATATCCTCCGTTTGAACTTATATTTTGCTCATAGGTAGGGCTCATAGTGTAGATAAAAATCCTAAAAGGATTCGTCCCCGCTAGCTTATTCCTGACGGGATATAGAATTTTTAGTGAATTGTCCCTATAGGACCCCAGTTTTCCAGCCAAATCATATTTTGGAATTTAGATCTGAAGAGTGTGGGTGTAGGCGTGGATGTGTGGATGCGTTTGGGGATAGGTGAATGTGGGGGCGGGTGGGTATGGGAGTGTGGACATGGGTGTGGGGTGTGGATGTGGATTTTGTCTTTCTCATCTACACACCCACACCCACTATTCATACCCGCTCATATTACTTATTCGTCGAAAGGTGTTGAAGTTTCACTTTGTCAAACATCACCAAGTCTTGACTGAGTTCTTCGTGATATTGCCGCTGGTGTTGGTTATTTTTTTTTATTTGCTCACAAACGTTTCATTTGATGAGCAGGGTGTGAGTGTAGATGTGGGTGTGGATGCGGGTGTGGGTAATGTTGGTGTAGGTGCGTGGATGTAGGCGTGGGTGTGGAGTGTGGGTGGCGAAGTATCAAAACTCACACACCCACATTCACTCACTCACAGCCACACTCACTCCACAGCCACACTCACGCCATACCGACACCCACTCTCGGTCTCTGGTATTTAGATAAAGTTGATGCAAATATTTTCTCAACTATTCTGTAAATCGTGTTCGTCTATTGGGTAAAAAAAGTGTTTTTTGATAACTGATCTCGAAACATGACAATAAGGCTTCACTGACTCCGGAAGCAGAAAAATGACAATATTTTTTTTTCTCTAGATAACACGCTCCCATTCTCTTAACTTCATAGTTGTCTCCATCTTTTTTTTTTTCTAGTAATTTGAGATTAGCATCGTTTCATCTAATAACATGCGAATGCAAATATTTTAAAACCATGAGTGTGTGAGTGCAAAGCACAAGAGTGCCAACAAAATACTCACATTCAAACACGGTAAAAAAAAAGTCATGTGTTTGATTATTTGCATTTGATTAAAACGAAACATGTTTTATGTTGTTTTTTTTTCTTTCAATTCATAGATACTCTCGAAAAAAAGATTAGACAATGCAAGTTTCTGTTCGTTGTCGTCGTGTTGCAGAAGAACGATTCATACTGAATTTAATTATTTTTGTACAATGTCGAACGTCTCTACCATAATTTTCATTGGCTTTTAGTTGTAATGATAACGATATGATAATATCAAAATTATTCAGACTCATGGATAATCAATACACTAAATTATTCTAAAGAGAGGCAGACTCACGATACCTTAAAGCACATTGTCGACTGATATCAGACAATAAAACTCATATAAACATTTTTCTTTCATTTCAGTGTCTCCATCATCAAATTTATATTTGCATTCACTTATCTGATAAACAAATGTGCTTTTGAATATGCTATAAAACTCTTCTACGACTCGTCACAAAAATAAAATCAGTAGATCGCGTAATTGGTGGATGTAGGGCGGGTATGAATATTCTGTTGCCCATACCGGTAGCCTAAAAACATCGTTCTAATTAAATTTTAAAGCGCTTTCTCCAGGATCTCGACTGACTGGGTAAGATACTATTAGTCATTTTATGTCAAAAATACGCTTGTTTAATGTTAGCTGTTATTTTTGCTGGCGATCTGTGTATTTCTATCCCTAAAATTCACGAGCAAAGAATTGAATGTAATTGTGAAAGTGATATTCGAAAAACATTCTTTTTATCATGTTGAGAATGAAATATTTCTTCTGCATTCGGCTGTAATTTAAAGCTGTATTACACCTTGACATAAGCAATAACATTCATACGATCGATTACTTTTGAGGCAAATAATCTCGTACTTGAGAATGACAATAACACGTTCGTCTCCTATGTAAAATATCGAAAGTATGACAGCCATATATGTGCACACGATTGAGGCGACATTTATTTGCTACAAGTGGTTGCCTTTCGTTTTGTTATTCTCGTCAAGACTTCGAACATGCACATAAAGAAAATGCGTGTTCTCATTTATTTTCATTGATGCGAAGCACATGTACACACATATTTTGCATCGATTTTTTTCTTTATAATCGATAGTATACTCGTTTTTTTGCAAGAATGTTACATATACAAATTCAACTCTCATCTAGATGTATCACACATTCAATGAGACGTGCGATCGTGACGTAATTGTAGCAAATCGATTTAAATGGTTCAAGTGTTTGGTATCGGACTGTTCGAATCGATTCTGAACGAATCGAAAAGTAGTGTTGAATTATAAATTCAACATGTTCTCCTCGAAGAATTTTCTACCGGGATATGATGATAGTTGTTCAAGTCTTTTTTTTCATCGAAACTAACTTGTTTTCCAATCATTGAAATTTGTTTTGCGTTTTTCATGACTTCTACTTGCCGACAAATAAGCCATTGTATTTTTCACATTGATCATTTGCTTTTACTCAAATTAAGCTCATCCTTTTTTTTTATTAAAAAACCTGTAAGCCTTGAAAACCACGATTTCATATTTTTACTCAGTACTTTTATGAAAAAGATACAAATATTCCTTGAGATACTGAAATTTTTTCAATAGCAAAAGGATTTCTATCTCTAACTTGGATATATACTAGAGGTCAGGTTGTTTAGCATGCTTTTTAAAAGATTTAACTGCATTTTGACACTATTGCGAAGTTGATTCAGCAAAATTGTCGAAAAAAACCGACCGTATTAGACTCCTAACTGTTCTGTTAAAATTGCATTACTAACTAATTATATTGACGTCATCTTCACTATATTGCTGAGTGAAAGTTAGTTTTTCCATTTTTATTCAAAAAATATAATACATCTTGATTAGAAATTTTCACGTATTAAAAAAGGACTATGTCAACGGGGATAGTTCAAAATTGAAATACTTCATTTCTGTGTACGAAATAGCTTCTCAATGCTATAGAACATCCAGTACAGTTTCTGAAAATTTTCAGCTTAGGATGCATAAAGAAAAGCTGTTAACACAGTCTTTATGAAATTAAATTTTGAAGCACGATGTAGTTGCTATCTATCGATATTGGAATGCATTTTTTTCATCATGCTTTTACTTAGTTCTCCAGAAATGCAGTTAGAAATTAGTTCGAATATTATAGCGAAACACTATTAATATACGGTCTTTGATCATATATTAACAAAGTCTGTCAGAGTCTATGGGAAAATGGCTCGAGGGTGGATGCAAATTTCTATTCTATATTCTTCAGCGACCTTTTTTGATGGTATTTCACAAAATGCGCAATAAATAATGACATTTTTTTAAAATTACATTAACATCATAAACACAAAAACAAAATAAAAGTTAGTAAGATATTTACTTGCAACAGAAAGGAAAAGTATGTAACGAATGCTTGTTCGATTCTTTTATAGCGTTAAAAATTGTCACATAGCTGGAAAAAAAACCCACCCAGATCAAATTCACCCTCGCTTAATTTATTTCAGGTTATTTTTGAAGAATATATCCAATCAAGAGTAGGTATTTTTTATTAATCGAATTGATGTTTTTCAGATGGGTGCAATATCAGTCAAAAATAGTCGTGGATGAGCTGTAGACAGTGAAAAATACAATCACTTACCACGGTAAATGTCCGCATGTGGACTCCCTATTTCTTGATCTGAGAGTTATCGTTCTACACAAAATTTAAACAACATTCGGCGTTTTTATGAAAATCTAGTGTGCTCCTGCCAAGTTCCATCGTGTCTTGTCTAATTCGACAACTTCCTGTCAGATGGATCACGGTGTCCAACCGGATCCGACTCTCTAATTCTTCGTCCTTGACAGCTTAAATTTGATGTACGTTTGATTAAGAGCATATAAAAAACGTCAAATCACTTTTTATTAGAATAGGTTTTTTAAAGAGTTTGTTTCGATGTGTTAGTAAGAATGATTTGAATTTATTAAATCAATCGAATATACTAAAAGTAGACAAGAAAAAGTAAGAAGATTAAAGTTTCTTAGTTGAAATACTTTTTTTTCTTGTATTTGTATTTTTACATATGGAATGGACTTTATGCATGAGTATTGTTTTTTATTAAAGATCTAATTGAATCAATCTTGAACATCGTCATTTAGTTTCAAATAAATTGTTCTGCTTCAAGTGGTTATCTCTTTGCTTTTGTTATTTATCGATTTACTATCCATAATTATGGCGAAGCAAGGAAACGATAGTATTCTGTCTCCATTAGTAACAAATGGCTTACCAAAATTTATGTTCTTTGTTTTTCATCGTTGTATTGAACGTGTTCTATGGACATTTGCTGAGCTTGGTATAGCAGATCTAATGGCAGATCATAAAGTACCATTGACAGCTACTGAGTTAAGTCAACTTAATGGAAATAATTGGAATGCTGAATTACTTTATCGATTACTACGATCAGTTGCTGATACTGATATTGTTAAAGAATTGACTAGCAGTGATGAAAACTCTGAAAATGATCTTCATCCAGAAAACGTAAATCGTTTTCAACTTACAGATAATGGATTATTTTTAACAAGTAATCATCCTTCGAAAGCTCGAGATTTAATTCGTTTAGAGTTGGGTACTATTACGCACAAACCATCTACATATCTTCCTTATCTAATCCAATATGGTTATAAAAATGGAAATGGATTTGAACATGCCTATGGATGTAGCTTATTTGATTATCTACAGAAAGAAGAAAATAAAGAATATTCAACTCTATTTAACAATGCAATGGCTTGTTATTCAAATAATTCTACAGATTCAATCGGTTCAATTATTAATTTCTCGCGTTTTGAAAAACTAGTTGATATTGGTGGTGGTTTAGGAACATTGCTATCAATTATACTGAAGCAAAATAAAAACTTGAATGGCATTGTATTTGACTTAGAACATGTGATTGAAAATGCAAAAAAACAAAGTCCTAATGAATTTCAACAAAGAAACATTGAATCGAATCGTTATGAATTTATTTCAGGTGATATGTTTAAATCAGAAACAATACCACAAGCTGATTCTTACATTCTGAAATGGCTTATTCATGATTGGACTGATGAAGTTTCTATTCAAATACTGAAATCAATACGTTCTGCAAATAAAAGTCGTGAAAAAAAGATCATTACAATTTTCTTAGTGGAAACGATTATTGTACCTAACGATGTTCATAGCTGGATTGCACGAGTTATGGATATTGAAATGTTAACACTTTTGAATGCTAAAGAAAGAACAAAAGCTGAATACATAGAACTATTGAAGAAAAGTGGCTACGATTTCAAGGACTTATATGAAACTAACAGCATGTATTCGGTTATTGAAGCAATTACAACGACTGAAGTATTTGATTAAATTATTAGACATTATCAAAGCTATTCATTATTTGTTTTTCAAATGAAAACTGCACCATGAAATAAAGTGACAGAACGAAAATCTTTAAGAAAAATAATTTTCGGATTGGAGAACATAAAACAATGCCATTTTGCATAAGTTTTTTTGTTTTTTTACAATAAAATACTTACTAATTTATTGGTATTTCTGATAAACTTTGAAAGATCCGAAGACTTCTGATCAACTCTGTATGAACTAAGTCTCTTTGTATATGAGCCTTGAGGGTGTGGGTGTATGGATGTACTCTCTAAAAAAAACGGTTTATTACAGAGTCTGTACCAGGGAGAAGAATCTTTGAAGTTGCGTACGAATCCACCGAACTTAAAAAGGGTTTCGCAAACTACGGTATGGATGTGAGTGTGGTTTTGAGAAAAGAGAATCCCGACATACAGCCATAACTACACCTCACACTCTCATCCACACCTCCACCCACTGACACTCATAACCTCTTTTATTTATTAACCCTTTCAGGCCCAGTGTCCTGAATAAAGGACGCTTTTTTTCAAATTTCTTAAATTTTGAATAACTCATGAACGCGAAATGATATCGAACTACGATTTTCTCTATGACATAAAAAAGACTTCGGTGCATACATCTATATAAGAGTTATCACCAGAATGTGGTCATTCAGGTAATAAGCCTGATGAATCTTTGGAACACCATTTCTATTCTAAAAAGAAGGAGGGCGGATAATGTCCTTGTGCGGCCTGCGAAATACTTTGATTTTTCGTGTTGAAATCACGTGAAGAGTGACTCCTAGTGATATTCCAAAGGTTGATTTAGTGACAGCTCTCAATCGAATTTTGACCCATGTTCGTACTCTCCCATGACGATGACCACAATACTTCTTCACCATCCCATGGAAGAGTGTGGGCATGGACCAAAAATGACTTTGAAGGTTTTTTAAAGATTTTTGATAAAAATATCAACAATGCACAATACTTATAATTAAATATAAAATCTCAAAGAAATATCATCCATTAATTAAGCTATAGGCCTGGTAGGATTAACAGTTGTCCAATGACTGAAAAAATGAGTATCTATATATATATACTGCAATTCTTTTTTTGTATTAAGATATGTAAGTAGACCACTAACAACTAGCATCGAAGTGAGAGCGAATATATGTGCCTTGTGCATCTTCGGTAAGGGTATATTCATAGTAGAAAAACAATGCCAACAATCTCTCTAGAACAGAATCTCCTATATCAAGAAAAAAAAGTCCATTTTATACAAATAATCGCACTGAAACCATTGTTTTGAGAATACTTCCTTCATTATTCAGAATTATTTTTATGTAGTACAAATAAAGGTAAAGAACTTTCTATGTGTAATACTACATCAAAAGTTCATTTCAAGAGAATATAGATAATCAAGTTTACAGGGAGATATTGTGAGTTTATCCTCAATTTTTCTTCTATGTCTCAAATCCAATACCAAAATCATATTAAATCACAAAATTCAAAACTAGTTTTGGTGTTGATACATACCTAGTGATATATATTTTTCCAAAAGAATTTATTAGAAGAAAAAAAAGGAAATGCAAAAAGATTATTAAAAATTTAATTTTTAATCAAATATGATCAATCTTGATTGGAAAAATATTCATCGAGAAATTGATTAATATTTCCAACATTTTATAAGATATAATTCAATTTATATAAAAATGTTCCAATAAAAAAATCAAATCGATATTGTTTATTCTATAAAAGCGATCGATTAAAATAAATTACCAGTATAACAATACTATTCTATCAAAGAAATATTCAACTATTAGACAACTAGATTTATAAATTGAATAAGAAGGTTTTAAATAGACATCTCAAATTTTTGAACATCATTCAATTTCATGAAAAAATAATAAACGAAAGAAAAAATATTGATCTATATGTGTTTTTGTTTTTCATAGACAATGATGCTTTGATTATACTTTTTTTTCAATTGTTAATACGAAATTTAACATCCAGATGATCTATTTTATATTGACACCATCCATTTATTTATTTTAATCAAAATGTGCTCATATATAATTAACTTAAATAATTAGAATAGTTTCTCTGCTGAAATCGATCGATTGTCAATTAAAGATATTGTATTAAATTCTTTTTATTCCGTCATCATCATCATCATATGTAGTAATCTTAATGCAAAATCTCAATCATCTACTTTCTAAATTTCTAATCAATGAACATATTAATTATATGATATATATTGTTATACTAAAATCTTTGATGAAATTCCACAATTAATTGTTAATAATCAATTTTTGTCTTCAATTTTCATCAAATGAACTTCTACTATCATCATTTTATTACGTTCTGATGGTCGTTTTTATTGAGCACTAGCGCCCTCATACAAGTCGCTAAAAATTGGTTGTACGGAAGAGATAAGTGAATCCAATCATCGAATTCTTAGAACGTTCTGAAGTAAAAAAAACGAAATTGTTGATTAAAAGATGTATATATTCATTTTATTTAAACATAATTCATCGAATTTTTTCAATACTGACACATCTTATAATCAGTGTTTCAAAGAACGTTACCCCAGTTTCAAAAATAAAAACTAAACCTTCTACAAAAACATTAGAAAAATTATAAAGCTTCAAAATGTTCATATAGCTGATAGTATAAACCTGAAAGGATAAAATGCTTGATACAGGCATAGATAATTGTTTGTTTTTATCGTGAGGCATTAATACCAGTGTTTAATAAATCTCCATTACTTTAATCAATATTGAGTCGAAAAATCATGTAGTTACGTCTAAATGAACATTTATTTATTTGTTAGTTATATATATATATATATAATAAAATAAAATACAAATTTTCTTCTACAGATATCTGTGTAGATATGCCATCGTATATTTTACGATGTGTTCATTCAAAAAATCGAAATTGTTTTCTTGGTATTAATCCACGTACATTTAATAACAATATTCGACATGCATTGGAGTTTAAAGTAAAACAAAATTTTTTTGTTTATTTTGAAAAAGAAGAATATATTAATATGTATATATATATAGGTTTCAATAGTAAAGTTAAATTTGGGAAATGATCAATTTCTTTATTTTTCAACATTTGCAGATTATACATTAAATGAAGGACAATTTTCCTTAAATGGATTTTTTGCAATGAAAATTAATATTCAAAAAGATCGATTTGTATGTTAATTTCTTTGAAAAAATTGATTATTCTATTTTGAATATGATTTTTGTTTTTTGTTTAATAGTATGAAATTGATGAACAGAATGAATCAGTCGAATGTCGAAGTGTAACATTTTGTCCAATATCTGTTGATGATTGGGAAATTTTGGTGAGTTGAAAGAAAGTTTCATACATTTTAAAAATCTACGATTCACATAGAAAGAATCTTTTTGTTTTTCTAAGGTTCATATTAAGGAAATAAAATTTTCGTGAAAGAAAGCATAAATTTTTCTTCATTCTATGGATCTTTGATGCTTTTGTTGGTTTAGAGAGTGTTTTAAATATCTAAATATGAATTTCTTTTATTTAAAAGGATTGTCGAGAATAGTTCTCTTTTTCATATATCAATCTAAGGAGTTTAATGCAATAATTTCAAATAAAATGATAGATGAAAATTTTGAATGTTTAAGGATTCCAACATGAAAATACTTTGTTTTTTTAAAAAGATTTTCAAGCAAAATAATCAATAGAAACTACGAACTGTATGTAGAGGTGTAAGCCGATGAGTTGATCGACGTCAGCGGCTTCAGCTAGTCGACGGTGGCTCAAGGTTTTCCATGATTTTTTGTTTTCTTGTTTTTGAGAGGTTTTGAAGTGAAAAAAGGTAGAAAATGCTAAGTATGAAACTGGACAAATCAGTTAAAACGGAAAAGAAATATGATTTTAATCACAATTACCATAATATGCGTTTTCTCGAGTTTTTATTTAGAAACTCGAATTTTTGAATAGTTCCTTAGACTTCTCGGTTTAGCAAATGGTAAATACAAGGCCAGAATTCTTTGCAATACACATGTCATACTTCGGATTACTATACTAAACAATGCTGATAAAACAGATTAAAATCAGCCATTTCTCGATTGAGCCGATTAAAAATTGGTTTTCAGATTTAAAGATAGATTTCATTTTATTTTAATTAATTCTAAATCACAAAAAGCAGATTTTTTTTTGATAAGAACATTCACAAAAGCTGATCCTGAATGTTCAAAATATGTGAAACCTGAATATGTTTTTTGTGCAGCGGCGGCGGCGGCTTACACCTCTATTTATATCGATTCAATGCTTTTTTTAATAACATATGTACAAAGTAACAACAATCGTCCCATGCAACTTCAAATTGTTAGTAAACTAATTCAGCTAACGAGTTTTATTAGAAGTAAAATTCTTCAAAAAAAATTTCATCATATCATTCCTACAGTACTGATCAAAAATATAGGACTAATATATTTTTTTCCCAACTCAAACTTGAATAGTAGTTTGAAGAGTCAAATGAACTCCTCTATCATTTCATAGATGGACTATGAGAAGAAGGTTTCTACAAAACCAAGCATAGTAGTTTTTAAGTCTCGGAACATCATCTTAAAGAGCACAAAATTCTAAATAATATAAAAGATTGCTACAATCTTCTTTTGAAACGGTATAAACATCACAAAAAATGCGTTTAGGACTTAAAAACAGACGATGACAGACATTGTTGATATACGACAAAAGAACGTATATGAATAACATTTCGTTATGATATCTGAACTACTTCCTTATTGCATTTCTGAAGAAGGTTAGTGAAGAAATGTGTCTCAATAAAAGAATCTTTCTGTTATTAGCAAGAGCAATAACATCGTATTTCACATTTTAATCCTGCGCGGATTGGGTAAACAAGTTGTTTTTTTAAGATTCGAACTTTGTTACTTTCAAAATATTTTTTTTTTGTATAAAAATTATTTATATTTATAGCAAAATAATACAGAAATAACTGAAGAAGTC